GCCTTGATAATAAATAAATGCTAAGGGTCATTGGAAATATAGTATGTGAGAAAGAACAATAGGCTAATGTTTGGGAAAGGATAAAATGTGATCTTGAAAACAACCATGGGAACACATAAACACATAAAGCTACATAACTGGGTCAACCAAAAGGCCTCACTGATGGCACTGCACTATGGCCATGTAAATGTGTGCATTTTTAAGAAGAATGAAAACACAGCCCGAGGGCAGCCTAATCTGTAAAACAAAGTGAGTTGACATTTGGCATGGATGTGTGCGAGTTAGCCCACAAGGAAAAGATAAGAAGCCGCTGACAGACACAAAAACAGGCATGTCGGAATGATGGGTTCAAACAAACAACATGCCGTGTTTCTCTCTGACCTTTTTTCTGATTGATCTGCCTTTCCCTGTAGTCGCTCTCCCTCTGTTTTCTTCACATTGGTAACCTTAATCTTAATTCTGGTCACTCTTGTTTATCTCCCTGTATGTTTTGTATTCAGTCTTGTCCATGTCTGTTGGGATTTGGAGGAGTTCACTCTGCTGTGTTAAATTTCCCTTTAAAAAAAGAAAACATCTCAGTGATGGATGTTGAATGGACAAATGTCTGGCTGGTTGGTAGACTGTGGGATGTGACTATGTAGCTGGATGTGGGAGACTGCTGTGCAATGATAGCAGCACAGGAAGGGTTGCCACAGCAACAGCCGAGACAGGAAACAGCCTTGAGAAATGTTGAAAAAATTGTGGAAAGTGGCGAGGGGTTGCAGTGTTGCCATTTGAAAAAGTAAGTACAGTTTTGTCATCACCTTCTTTTAAAGCCTGTAGCCCAACTATTTCATGCAGGTTGCTGTTAATGTAAATGGAAATTTCTGATTTGTGGATGAGGTCGATTTTTGTCACCGTGTTGTAAGAAGAAAAATGACTGCCTCGTGGCTGCTGAGCTTAAGCTTAACTCACATTTAATGAACTGCCCCTGTACATAAATTCACATGGTCTTCAGATGGATGCACAATCATTAAATGTGGTGATGCTCATGTCCCAACAGGTAAAATTTGCGATGGCATCATCATCCAGTTGATAGTGAATACTTGTGAGCTACACGGTGAGTCAATCTTAAATTTATCTGATGTGGTACACAAAAGGTATTGGAGATAACGATCCACAAGAGCTAACTTAATTTAATTTAAATAGATTAAGGTATTTTTTTATTTCAATATGAAATAATATAGTTTGCAATTCAAGCAAAAATGTTGTTTAGTGGAATCTCCTCCCTATTCATGATACCCACAGACATGCCACTCAGACACAGGCCAGACTGCAGATGTTACCACTGCTCTGCAGGAATTTTCCAGCTGTCCGCTCATGTTATTCTTTCATGTTAGATGTGTTTTCATTTCAGTCATTTGTTGATACTTTTCAGGAGTTTCCATGTGCCTCAAATCAATGTGCCTTTTAAAAAAATTAGTTGACAATTTGGGAGGTGTTCTAACACACATCAGGCGCAATTTGTAAAGACTGAGGCTGGAATCTATACTGAACCATCAACAAAGTTACATGGCATACAGTAATGGCACCAGATCCTATCAGATTTAGATCAACCGCCCTTTATTTTTTGTTTTCCTCCACTCATATCAATGTCCCAGTTGATGCTAATTGCTTCATATAAGACCACTAGCTTTCAAATGTTAATTTGAAGAAATTAGAGTCCTTAGTCTCTCAACAAAACATTTTCTGCATAATTTTGTTTATTATGCACTATTAAACTATTAACATGGGGGTGTGGTGGTTAGCACTTTACTGCCAGTAGGATTGAATTTGAGTGTGTGATTGGTCGTCTTTTTGTTGTCCTGTGATGGACTGACGACCAGTCCAGTGTGTATCCCTCATCTCACCCCTCTTGAACTTAATATTGACAAATAGCTCTTAAAATCATGTTTCTGGTCTCCATTGGAATGTGTGCTGTGTGCAACATCTTAGTCTTCCTCTTACTCTTCTAAGATTTGCTTTCCTGTGCCTCAATTCACACTTTTAGTTTTTCTGTGTTTCTCCACACCCTTTTACAGGTCTGAAGTTTCCACTAAAACACCATTCCTGTTGCATTCCACATCTGATCAAATAAACTATGGTTCAGAATCATCAAATGTCTGATTTCATAAAAAAAACAGAACAACAAAAAAGGTTTTTTTGGAGAGACAAAAAACAAAGAACAGGACACAGTAATGCTAGAAATGTTTTATTTATCAAAACCAACCAGCTGATATTTTTAATAAAACAATACAGAGAGACAATAAATTATTTAAGAGAAGCATCGAGTTTGGTCATGAATATTTTTTCTGAATGCAGCAAAGCTGATGGACTCGCTTGTTAAAACCGAAAAAACACTAACATTTCTCTGTGTTGAAAATCTAACAGCACGGCCATTTCTGATACTCGGATCAAATAAACCTGTTCAGTGTTTGATTCTATTGCATACAGCAGGGGGAGAAAACAAAGCAGCTACATGGAAAAACAAAGAAGCTGAGGAACATAGAAGTCACTTTGGAGAACACAATGATGGAATGTTCTGATGATGCCAGCAAAGTGGCAGACACAGGATACCCATCAATACATATCCACTCCCACACATTTAAAATACAGCATTTGCAATTACCTTGATCAATTTGTGCTTTAGTCTCTGTAAAAATTCAAGGAAGTTGTCAAAATTTCTTTCAGTCGAAAATGAAAAAGTTCCAAGAAATTTTAATCGTGGTGATATTCAATAAACAACCTGTCCATCTTTTCCCAACTTTTTTACCCACACATTTAAAATACAGCATTTGCAATTAATTTGATCAATTTGTGCTTTAGTCTCTGTAAAAATTCAAGGAAGTTGTCAACATTTATTTCAGTCGAAAATTAAAAAGTTCCAAGAATTTTCAATCGTGGTGATATTCAATAAAGAACCTGTCCATCTCTTCCCTACTTTTTTACCCTGATTTGTAAAGTCAGTTTGAGAATTTCATTTGCCAATACTTTTTTTTTGCTGTTAGAACATATTCAGCCAATTGTAACAGAGGTGAAAGCACTTAATTTTCTGCTATACGATATCTTGCAAAATGACTTGAAACTTAATCCCACCAGACAGAATATATATATATATATAGTGAGAATTGAACAATTCACCAACTTTATGGAAACTTCTTTCAAACAGCATCACACCAGAGTTAATGCAGGCGTCTCAAGCAAAGGTGAAAGCTCTCACAGCAAAGTGAGGATGCTTTAGTTGGTTGAGTCACAGCCTGTCCCGTACAATTCGCAGTCATTGAAAGTGTCAAATGTCCCACATCTGTGGAGTATCACCGTGTCCTACAACACACACATGTACATAAAAAACGCCGCTGTGATCAGGTTTCACTGTGGCTGAACAATACTCTTGATGTCCAGTACATTTTTTTCCCCCTTGGAACAAAAGTAGCATGTATAATTGCTTATGTCCATGAAAAAAAAAAAAAAACCTGGGTGAGGGGACTGTGGCTTTGAGGGTGACCATGGAGGGATGACAGATGACAGTGTGTTATTTCCCACAGTCGGATCATGCGTTTAGACATTTCATTTGTTCCCCCGCTGCTTTGATCCTCTGGATAACATTGGTGAACACAGTGCACACACAGTGGCACGCACGGCTACGTGCTGGTTGTTTAAATGTTTGTATCTGCTGTAACCCTCTACCCCTAAAACATGAGGACCCCTTCCTGAGTTGGGAGTGGAAAACCATGCACATACAAGTAAAGATTATATTACATATAGAGAGAGAGTAAGACATAGAGTAAAGCAATAAAGGAAAACAAACACAAAACTTGAGAGACAATCTCTCATGTGTTGAATTGTGAAAGCATCTCTCATCCTGGAGTGCTGGAAGGCCACAAATAGAGGACTGATTGTCCCTTTTGTGTCAACAACGTCTCCATTTCTCTTCCTGACTTTCTATCTCCCTTTCCTCTCTTGCGTGTTTAGGGTCTGAGGATCACAGCTTTATCCACTGCAGCAGAATTCCGCTTACCACATGGAATGCCAGGAATGCTCGCCAAACCGGGCACAGCACTGTGGCCAGATCTGACATTTTCCTTGATCTGTTACGGGTGAGTGATGAAGGGAGCGAGAACAAGACGGTGCATTAGAGACGGAGTCCGTGAGAGGGAAAGAGCGAAGGCGTTCGGATGGACGGATGCACGAAGGGAAGTGCAACTCGCAGACAAGGATGTGAGCAAAAGGAAACAACTCTCGGAATTCTGCACACAAAGACTCCTGTTTTGTCTTGTGCGGCCTTGCGTGTGAGTGTGTGTTGGTGTTGGTGTGAAATTCAAATCTGGAGGGTTGCAGTTAAACTGACTTCACATCAAGATTGTGTTATTATGGTGCAAACCTCCTCCTTCCTCCCTCCTTCTGTCTCTCACTCACTTTTCTGGGCATGCTGCTGGCTGAAACCTTGCCGGAAGTTTTTAGAAGGGTTGTTACAAAAAATAACTGCAAATACATGTATGTGAAACAGAGTTTTATAGTGGCTGGGCCCTCTACAGTTGGTCAAATAAGCATCCTCTGGGACCCTTTAAGGGAATGTACTTTTTACACAATTGGTCACATTTACTAGTATTAAGTTTTCAAAGGAAAGAAAATGGACTGAATCAATTGTATTCCGTTGTAAAAGCTCACTCCCATTTCAAAACATTACGGTGTGGAGGTGATGTTAAGATGTGGGATGAATAGTGAAAGTTTAAGCAGGTTTGTGGGAAAGTAACATGGTGTTTATATATTTAGAAACGTTGGCCTGTGCACAGAGAAATGTGGTTTATTTGCAAGAGTCATTGTGTCATTGTGTTGAATACAAACTGCAATTTTATCAGTCAAACGGTTGCCCTCTTCTTTGCTTCATGTTTGCCAGCGGTGCCATTTGTTATATAAAGTCTGATGCAAAACATATAAAAGAACTCATGTATCAGTTCCACGCGCGGGGCGGGCTGAGGGTCTCAGCGAGGGGGCTGGGACGGACACGCACACTCGCACGAGTCGTGATGCGCCAGGAAGATTTCGTCAATGACCCAGCGCACCCGTGTCCTCTGAAGGCGCCTGTGAATACTGGACTCTGGGGCATACTTCAGCACCTGGAGGAGACAATATGAGAGAAACCAACCGTAAACAGACTGAACAGGAAGCAGGTAAGAACTATTTCCTGATCTGTTTGCATTAAAGGAAATGCAGCAAAATCTCGCAAAGTTCCTCAAAAATAGGAAACACACAAAAAAATAACATTAGGCTGCAAATCTAATGTAGTTCCTCATATAAGAGATAACTCTTTTAGGCTGATAAATTAAAGGACCTCCTGGCTACTCCAATTAGCGTCCCCAAAACTCTCCTGGTGGGCCAAACTGTTTCTCACTCCTGTGGCCGGAGCACTAAGAGATTGGGCTCATTCCCTCTCGGCGTATTAGTCTCTCCACTCTTTTTGAGATTGCTTCCTTCATGTTCTGCTGTGAGCCTCCATCTCTCAGCTCTGTTCTGCCCTCTGCTCTCCCCAACAACATGGAGCAAAGCATGCTGGGGGAGGTCAGAATATACCAGCATTGATAATAATTCTGATAATAATAGATGAAAATACGTGATTTTTACATTTTTTATGATTTAGCCTCAACTGACTATGAAAACATTACTGGTGGATTTATTCATTTTTCTGATTTTCTTCCTATCCCAATATAAATAATAGTATATAATTTCCCCCCATTATTGAGCCGCTTTAACTAAAGTTAGTTGCAATTGATGTAACTAGCATAATTTCCAAGTCTGTGATAATCTGGTGAGAAACTTCCCCATAGTTACGCCTAACTGAATGCACAGCAATCCACATGTGATTTTAATTATTTAGCCTTACTTTCACAGCAGCTTAAAACTCCTCCCTTAAGACACAACTCATAGCAGGACAGAGTTTTCAGAGATATATGCAGTTTTACCACAAAGTCGAAGAGCTGGCTTTGAATAAAGGTTTGAAAATGGGTGCTAAACATTTGTGCTGACATTCTCTCCTACTGTTGGTAAAAGCATTGCAGAAGGCAATCTTGTTTGCAGGTTCTACCTTCAGTGTGAAATAAAGAGGTGGAAATACTTCAGCAAGAGACACAGCGAATTTGTTCTCCAATGAAAACGACACTCTTAGTGATTAATGTCCCGACTTCCCAGCACTGAAACAATAGAGTGACTAATAATGTGTTTCTTTAGAGTTAAGTCACCGGGGGAACCAGTTAGTGGTCTGTGATGCCGGAGAGGAGGGGAAGCCTGAAATCTCTAGAATATGCACATAAAACAGACTTGAGGATCAAGAATTCATGCTATTCAGTGCCGCTACATGACATAAATACACAACTCACCTTTTTCATGCTTTTAAACAATGTGATTTACACACACATCCATGCGTGTGTGCACACACACACACACGCATACAGCCAAGGCACAATTACAACCCAAATCCCACTTTTGTCTAAATTCCTATTGTGTGATTTCTAACAAAAAGAGAAGGAGAGGCAGAAAAAAAGCCCCGTGGACCACGTTTCAATAATGAAGCTACGCAGGAACAAAGACATGAAGCGATTGAGGGAAGTGAGAGAAAGAACTGAATGACAGGCTTTAAGAACAAGAATGGTGCATCGCAAAGGGACAAATTGAAAATGGGAATTGGGAGGAATGAAAGGATGACGGAGCTCAGAGAGAGAAAAAGGAGGACGACGGAACGCGTGACAGAGATATGGAGAGACTGGAAATGAAATGAGAGGCAGGGAGAAAGTATGAGCGAGCTGGTGTGCTGCTGCTGCTTCACAGTTGCTGCTTCGCCGGCCTCTGCATGCTCAATTTCTTCCTGCTCCTCCCTCATTCAGCATCTGAATCTCTTCCCCTTGCTCACTCCCTTACTCACAACTTTTTTTTAGTCTCATTCGGAAATTAATCTGAATTGTTGAGGAAGTGTTAATATTCGAACATCTCTTCCGTCACTTTCCTGTAACACGTTGTTGGATTACAACAGAAGCCAAGTTTTATCTGAGAATGTGCTTATGAAACACTGTTTTTGTTATGACTGCATTTCAAACTGTTCCAAGCTCGCTTTTACCTAATTGATGTCACCATACGTGTAATGTTTCACAGGGTGGCTGATCAGTATTTTTCTGTTGTTTTGCTGAGATCAATCTTCTATAAAGACACTTCACTGTAATAATAAGGAAGCAGAATTCAAGTTTTCCAAAAACAATTATGAAGTAAGATTAATCGGAGTAAGGATTTTTCACATCTGTGTTATTCTGAATAACAATCGGTCATCAATTGTTTTCAGACTTGGAGACAGATTTCTAAATGACTCGTCTCTTTTAGTGATATGAGGTGTAAGAATATCAACTGAAAAATAAATAATTTACCAGACACGCAAAGGGAATCAAAATCCACAGATTGATGGCCTCATTCTGTGGTTTAGAGTCAGTTGACTACTGTTTTGCTGAAAATGCCACGTTCATTGATTGCCATCATCATATTGATTTCCCATATATATGTGTGTGTGTATAATAACTTCTTTTTTTTTACATCAAACATAATATATTTCAGGTTATGTGATGCAGTCTGAGATGGGATGCCCACCTCGTGCAGTTTGGTTGTTGTTTTCAAAGGCCGACAGGTGCAGCCGTTATTCCAGTCGCTGGTTCCGCAGCCACAGTTGCCTCCGCAGCGCTTCACCAATAAACATCGGGGGAAGAAAACGGCGCTGGTCGTCTTCAGCTCCTCACGCAGGTTCACCGAGTAGTTGCGAGGAGTGCAGCTGTATCGCTTAACATCATCATTGAGACGATTGAGGTCGACTGGACAGGAAGTGACAGCGAGACACAAAAACAAGCAGAACTGTTAGTATTGCAATTCTATGTGGTTCTGTGGTGAAGCCAATAGTTTAAATCGTACACATGTTTATGATAGGCAGCAATAATAGTCAACACCGCATGAGTATCCATTGCTATGCAGATGACATAAATCTATATTATCTATATTTCATTTTTCATTCATAAACAGCAATCATGTCCTGGATGGCATCACATTCCCATAGTCGGTGAAACAACAAGAATTTTTGACTGAGATATATGTACACAAGTATCTATGATTGCGAAGAGTTACTATTGATTGAATGAAACTGCGTGAAAAACTGAGAGACAATTTATCATGAGAACACCTGCAACAACAACTGACTGCAGATGTGGCTACATGGGTGGGCGAAAGAGCAGAAAGGGAAGCAGAGCCTGTAAACTGATTGCAGATCATTGTACTGAGGTAAGTTGTTCTTCTTATAATCGGCCTTAAGTAAAATTGACATATTTTTAAAAGTAAGACACTCCACAATTGTTAAAAAGTCATTTGAAAAGAGTCTAAAGGTCCTGGGAATTCAGAGTAAGGGACCAAATAGGGGCAAAACCAGAAGCAACGCATAAAGAAAACCATTAATGTACAATTTATTATTCATAAGCTCTGATAAAATGGCATAAACCTACTTTGTTTTGCCGCTGTAACATGCACATATTTGCTCTAATGCTGCTGAGTGGTTAAAACAGACCAGTTTGATTTGCAGAGTGAGAATGGCTTTAACAGAAATCCAACAAAGATTTAAAAAAAAAAACCTACATAAAACGGAATGACAGACATATATTTTCTTCAAAAAAGAATGAGTGGATTACATTATTCTGAAGATATGCCACTGTGACCACAAGTACTATAAAGGAAGAATCAGAAGGAAATTTAAAAGAAAGATGAGAGGAAAAAAAATCGCACAAGAGCCACAATCAGTGCAGGATTGAGTGCGGCGTGATTGCAGTCAGCTGGAGATTAATCAATGTACTGTCCATACCAAGGGCAGTAATTACACCACTGGTGATTCTTTACTGTGATACAAACAGCTGTATAAAGATAAACTTGAATAAAGAGAGTGAAGTCATTAAACTTATAGACCTCTTCCAGATGAAACAAGGCTTTTGGCATTGTTAGCAAGTTAATATGGTGATTTTTATGAGCTGTAAGACATAAAACAAATCAAGTAGTAGCATTTCCACCTTAAAACTGCATTTCACTAGAGCCAGCATTAAATAAGACAAGAAAAAGGATTTGACAGGAGGTTGTGGGTTAGTCATTGATCGCGAAACATTTTAGTCTTTTAGTGGTAATGCTGTAGAAAAAGACAAATATCATTCTTCAATATAATGACAAACTCACTTCCAATTGACCGTGTGGTTTGATTTTCTTTAGAGGAAGTTTCTGTATTTGAACGTTTTCTATTTTCTATTGCTTTCTTTCACCAATATAACAGCGGGCTGTTATGTAACTTAGATTAGTTCAGCAGTGTTTGAACAGTGTTGAAGGTGAGTAGCTGTGGCCAGACGTGTGAAAAAGATAAAGAGGCAGAGGAAAATTTACATATTAATGGGTCTGCACATATCAAAAGAGTCAAAGGTGTAGCGTTACACCGGGGCCATTTTAAGCCCTGAAAGGATTACTTTTATAGAAAAAAGTAAACATGAGATTCTGATGAGCAGAATTTCAGGAGAGGAAGAAAAGGAAATGTAATTAAAAGGGTCAGCAGAAATTACACCACCATTGCACCTTAGAAAAGACAAAGCCTTCCGAAGCTATTTTCATTTTTAAACTCTGCAGCTGACTGGCAAAGAAAGTGTTTCTTTGCCTTTGAAGGGAAAAAATCAAATCACTGTATTTCTTCTTATTAGTTTGTAATAACAGATCAATATCTTTTAAAAAATGCTTTGAGTATGGACGCTGACTCTGTAACCTTGCCTTGAGGGAATATTCCGGACCCTTAACAGTAATGGACGAGCAAAGCCAGACTGACATCATTACAAGGTGCTAAAGCAAATGTACGCCATCTGTATGTATGATAGTGAAGGGAGATTCAGTTAAAATAGTTCAGCTATAGCTACTAAAACAGGGGGGCCGTGTGTGAGATCCTGAGTCCTGATCTAATTTATACTGATATCATAAGGTGAGAAGAGTTATGAATATTCCTATATTGATTTTTCAAGATTCACCGAGATTTATCCTTGAGTGCCATGGCAGAAACCCAATGGACTGCTATCCATCTTCTCACAGCCTGCAGAGGCCAAATTATGAGGGACTGACAGAATAACCTTTTGGTAAGAGCAACATAAAGAGAAGAAATAGCTGATGCATTCACCTTATGGCTTAGTGTGACTGTCGACCGTCCAAAAGAATATATAAGAAGCCATTACACTAATAAAACCCCATAGTGGCTTGCACACTCAGACTCATAAGCCCCAGCATTTGGGGAATGACGGAGTTGAGTCTATTTACGCAGAACAGTGTGCTCCACAAAGACGAACAATCAAACTCTGTAACCATTCAGGGTTCAAACCAAGAGTGGGATCCCTAAGTATTGGCATCTGGTCTGTGCTCTGTTCACAAATTGATTTCCCTGTGTGTGTTGTGGCTTTGTTCTCCATTGTGGAGCCGTTTCCAAGCCTGCGTGACTGCGCTCCGACCCAGGACTTGCAAAGCCTGTCTATGCTGAAAGGCAGTTGAAGGCCAGGCTGTGCACAATGACCGTGCTGTATACGATATAAGGTGTCTCATATTTGCATGCGGTGTGTGTGAATATAAACAATGACTAATCACTTCAACCACTCTCCATTGTTTATGAGGGACAGAACCCCTAATGAAAGTGTTGTAGCAGTTTACCACCTGGATGCTATTGATAATCAATAACCAACTGATTGTAAAAAGAATTCTTACAGACCCACCAGTCATTATGAAAAAGAAGTGATAAAACACATTGGAAATTAGCCATAGTCTGAAGAGTTAAACATTGAATAAGTTTCCTTTGAATAACTAAAGCAAGACATTATCTCTTTTAACTTTAATTTGGACTTATATATGACAGTAAATTGTCGGATGGTGACATCATTTAACAGACAAATCCATCTGAGTTGGAGACCATTCCCAGCATTCTGCTACAACAGAATTTACATCTGCTCAAAGCCAAATCAGAAAAAATATATTTTTCTTCTAAGAAAAGCACAACTGCCACTAGATCCATCTTCTCCTCTATTTATGAATATCTTTTATAGAGAAAAGACGACGATGTCCAGAAAATTATTGATTTCTGGTTGTTGACAGAAAGCCTAGAATATTGAAACGTGTCCCTCACATTTGTAATGTGTGTTTGGATTTACCTGTGTGATGCAATGCCTGATTTAAAAGTGACGGCCCATTTAGCCCCCTGCTATATCCCTGACTGTGATGGGCAGTGTGGGTTTGCTGGGCATGTATCTACCAGTGAGGCTGACGACATGGGTGGCTCATGGCTGGTAACGCTTTGGCTGCATGGATGCCTGTGTGCTCCTTGGGCTGAATTTATGTCTTTTAAAGGGGGAAAGCGTGTGACTTCAGGAACCCGGTGGTGTGGAACCTTGTCAGGGTGTATGGGATGGGGGAAAGACATAAGAGACACAAAGAGAGAGCAAGTCTGCAAGAGTGGCTGTCACTCAAACAGACAACGACACGAAAAAGTGTAGGGTCCGTGCATGAGTGGGGGAAAACTTCAGTTCAGTGTCTGCAAAAATAGAAAATGAAGCGTTGTTTATTTTAACATCATAGTTCCGTTTTGACTTGCGTGAGGCTAAGTGTGTGGGCATGACATATTCCAATTAATTTTATCGCATACCATGTGGGCCTTTGTGACGGTAAAGATGGGTGCGAAGCTTTTGTGTCCTAATGAAAATAAAGCTAAGCTGCTGACCGTGGCACATTTTGTGCAGCGACACAGGTTGAATTTCCAATTAGAGAGTGCTGCATTGGATTATTAAGGACTTGTGGAGGCTACGTAGCTTCATGTTAGCCTGCCAAATGCACAAACTCCCCACATTCAAAGCCTTCCCATGCCAACAGCGCACACGCGAGCACTGTTAAATAGAAATAGATTTGCTGTCAAGTGCAAATATTTACCAAGGCACAGGATGAAACAGAACAGGCGAGAGATGTTAAGGCCCAGATGGGGAAGACACGGTGCTTTTATACAGGCCTGCGCACACATAAACACTTTCTCCCAAACAAGTATGCCTTCAAGAGTATCCCTCGAATATCTGAAAGACACCAGCTCGGCTTGTGATACATTTTGTCCACAGTTAGTCCTAGGGACAAAATCTATAGCTATATTGACTCAAGGTTGTTGGCATTGACTTCACAGTAAAGAGTTGCCTTGAATTGCTCTTGTTTTGCCTTAAATCTGTCACCGACTCCATATGAGACCACCCTCCCCTCCTCCACATTACCGAGCTTTGACCCCTGTAATGCTCACCCCTTAAGCCCAGTCAATTAGGGTGCAGCAGGCTCCCGGCTGTGTGGCTCTGTCTCACTAAGCACAAAGTCTTAGACCTCCCCCTCCCTCTGTTATCTATCTGATACCAATGATCGCAGCAGACCACAGAAAAAGGCTCTGAACCTTGCAAAGAAAGAGGGTGGAAACATTAATCTTTCTACAAGGACTGTTCAGTCTGTGTGTCCCCACGTATTTAATCTCATTACCAAACTGTATTTTATCAAACAGTGGTCATTTGAGTATCCACTGGACGGATTATTTCATTTTACAAATGAAATATAGATTTTTTAATAATGATTATTTATATAAAAAGGTCAGAGTTGATTTTAGAGCCCGAGGAAAATCTGAACAAATAAAGCTTGCCTGTTTGATTATGTAGGTAAAGAACATTTCATGTGACATTATCGCTATCATTTGACATTACATTGCCCATTTTCCTTTGTTGTAAAAATGCCGTGATAATGTAAAACCCGATTCACAGCCTGGAGAAATTTCAAATAACTAGATCTGTATTGTCTTACCTTTATTGTGTCTGGTTGCCAGGTGATAGGCCCTGGATCTGTAATGTATGTATGTTTGAATGTAGATGTTGTCCAGGTCTTGCTTCCAGGTTTCTGGATTCAAAGACTTGAGAAGCTCCTCCACAGTGTCACAGGCGGCTATGGTTCTGTCTAAATCATCCAGTGACAAAGGAACATCTGCCATTGTCGTTGACATCTCCTTTACCCCAACATCCTGCAAGAAGCAAAGGTCACAAGGTAAAGAGGGAAATATAGACTTCAATATCAATTCTGAGGGCTATTCATTTTCTAGCTTGTTGCACAAGTGAAAAATTGTACTCTTCCATTTCCTTCATTTTCATGCAGCAGGCAAGATGTTTTAATCTATATTCAATAAGTCTTGTTAAATAAACTGTTGTTTGCTAATAAGCAGTGATAAAGAAAAGGAAAAATCCCTTTTCCGAATTTGTGAGAACAGGTGTCGGAATCTTTTTAAAGATGCCCATTATATTTGAGTCTTTACTGTCCACTGACTGTGCTGTGGCAGAGAGCACAGCGATGTTTGGAAAGCAGTGAAAAGTGATCGGATCTTTCAGAGGTAGATTTAGAGATACCACTGATGCTTGAGCCAGTTCTCTCATAAACCTTAATTGCTGTTATACACAGCCGTTAATTTTTAGCGGTGAAAAGTGTGGAAAAACAAGTAAGGGATTCATTTTTATACGAAGGAACCAATGGACCTGCATTATACTTCAGAACTTATGAGCTAAATTAGTAGTAAAATAGAGACTGAATTGAAAATAAAATCTATGCAGCTCAATTAAATTAAAATCAAGAAACCTGGGATTGGTTTCCAATCGAATATCTGCTTTAATTTGACAATGGAGCAACAGTTAATCTAAGTACTGATTCCTCCTTTGAGTAGATGTACAGTTTTATCTTTTCATAAACAAGAAAAGAAAGATAAATAACAAAGTTTTTAATTTCTGATTAAGGAAATCTACTGTTTAATAAAAGCTTTCCAAATCTTTAAAGGCTTTTAATCAGTCCCATATTCCATGAGGATCTAATCCCACGGATGATCAGGAGGGCACTGGACCCTGCTGTGGGCCACCTCTGTGGATAAGACCAAACTGTCAGATCATAAAACCAGTGTGACACGAGGAAATATTACATCGGTGACATTAGCTGCCATAGTCAGCTGTGCCTTCAGAGGAAAATATGGTTAATAAGATGAAAGTAGCTGATTGAGGAGTGCTGGATTCATCATCAGCCGACTCTGGAACAGAAGCAGTCTTCAGGGATTAAACATTTGTTTTAACATTTGCTCAAGTAAACTGTTATCTAATGGGAGGGTTAAAATAAAATATCATAATGAGCATGAATAAAAAATGATAAAGTATCACTCCAATGTGACACTGGCTCGTGTAAAATAAACTATGTTATGTTTTATTGTTTCTGGACCAGCTACCTGACCAGAATATGTTCAGCTACTCTGTGATTGAACTGAATTAAGAAAATAAAAATGTAATCTAAGAATAAAAAAAGTTCAACCAACAGTATAAATAAGAGGATGGCAGCTGATAAATATCCTCATCTTAATAACGCACAATAAATCATCATCTATCAAACTACCTCTTTCATCATAAAGACCTGATGCATAATACTACCTAATAACCTTTGTAATAGGAAACAGCTTCCAACGTGTAACACGACAACCATAACTGAACAAGAATTCCTACATAGTTTTTACAGCCAGTGAGATGTCGATACACAAACACACACACACAAAACCAGAATCAACCTACACAGAGAAGCCTCCACAGAGGCCTTTGGCAACTAATCATAATGAAACATATGTGACAATAATCTCCATCGAAGTTAAACACACACACATACACACACGTAAATTATTCCAATTACATGTACTTTGAAAGAGTTAGTCAAAGGAAAGGATTTCAACCTTCATGCCTAATTAACACTGCAGAGAAGAATAAATGCACACTGCCCGTGTGCATGTGTGTTGCCTCATGCAAATGGAGTGTACCGCATGTCATAATTATTAGCGCGGCCATTATTTCTGAGGAATGCTTAACTGCACAGCAGCAAGGTTGGAAGGCACCAGCCTGTGTAGAAAACGGTAACTTGGCAAGTTGTTTTTAGTTCTTTTCCCCCCTAAAAAAAGTTAGAAACAAAGTTGTATAATCTTAATTATTCCCATAAATCAAACTGGAAACTACTTTTACCTTGATCTAAAACTTTTATACCCCTCTTCCCAACGTTTAAGTGTGATTAAAACAATGGATGTTGTTGGATAATTGAACTCCTGCCTTAAAACGTGCGAGCATATGTGTTTGCATGGCTCACCGACATGAGCATCGTGACAGCCTCCCAGTTGTTTTTGGATGCAGGCGGAGTAGAGTCGACCTGGAGAAACAGAAAACATAGCTGACTGACTACTAGAGGAGAGAGCACACAAGAAGCTATTTAAGCGATCAGGAAAACATATGGTTCATTACTAAAGAACTGCATTAGTTTGTTTCTCATGGAGACATTTTCATGCCTTAATATGTCACAGTCATGCATCTTTCGGCACAGTGTCTGTATCATGACAGATGCTGCCGGTTGGTGTTGACATTTAACCAAATCAGCTTGCATGACGAAACATATAGAGAACAAAGGATAGAAGAAAGAGAATCCCCTGATGTGTTGTGTCTCCTCGGCTCTTCAGCAGGCAGTTAGAAGACAGTGAGTGCACAGTGTTTACATCATGGAATTCTATCACTATTTTCAGTTACCAAGAGAAAAACAACACCACCACGAGAAGAGCTCAACGACTGTATATGAAGCTGCCAGTGCAACGGTGGCTAGCTTTCAAGATGACCAAAGCTGTCTCTTAAAAAGCATAACTTTTGGATAATTACTTAGAATGCTTGATACTTTTATTGTATCATCCATAAGGTGTTTATGCTCATATTTAGTGACTAAAAAGGACCAAAGCTAATATCAAAAGCAGCTTATTATTCATTATGAGTAGAGGCTATAAATTAAATTCAAACTGATTAGGAAAGTTCAAAGACAAAACATATGTATGATAAGTATGACTACACGGGCTCCTACATTATAAACAGCAATCTTTAGTGGCATGATCAAACAATCTGTAAGAGCTCACCGCTCCATCCTTTATTAGTGAGCAACCTTCTGCCCGTTGAAGCACAAATGACCTGTACAAACATTAGCACATTGTGGTCAGGGTGGATTTTTATATGTGGGATGTGGAAAACATACTTAAACGTATGAGACATAAGAGTCTCACATTTCCCCATTAGCTCAGTGTCTTGAATCCGCCATTTGCACATGTCTGAGCCACATGTCTGTAAGTGATGGATGATGTCATCCATCCAAGACACGTTTCAGAGATGATCTGAGTGCAGACTTTGGGCAGCTAAAGTTTTATATCCCTCTACCTATTTAGGGCACTTCTGTTTCTACTTTTCAGGTAGTTGCCATTAGACTCAACTTTTAAGATTATTGGTGGAGTGCTCATGCGTTTCATAAGAACTTCAGATGTCTGGCTGAAATACTGTTGGTATATCATCAGAATCCTTCCAATGAAGCCAGTCTCAGCATGTCTTTGTTAATCTGTATGTGCGTCTGTTCCAAAAAGAAATCAAAACCCGGTCAAGGTGCTTTTTGATAATCAGTCATCTGACTGGCACATTTGGCGCACAGTCACATTTTTTGTCTATCACTCCCTTTCTCCAGCACAAACACATACACGAGCACACACACAAAAACACACACACACACATAAAGTCTCACTTGCAAACTGATCTGTTTCCTTGAAGAGTCTTAAAGACCATCTCTGGTCAATGTGGAACAGTAAATCTGTCTCAACTGCACTTCAAAGACAGAGGGTGCTCACTTTGTCTTAGTGTGTGTGTGTTTGTGTGTCTGTGAATGTAACAGAGTTGACATCAAAGCCAGTCAGGTTGCAAAGCTTTTTGTTTGACAGATTCTCATATGTGGCCTCTGGATAAATGTGCTCATACGCAAAAAACGATGCTCAAAGCAACTGGGAATTAGGTCTGAAGGTTTCCTGTAAGAGCATGTGTAAGAGTGTGTATGTGTGTGTGTGTGTGTGTGTGTGTGTGTGTGTGTGTCACCATATGTGAGCAAATGCATTTTTGTGGGCTTCATGTTCCACTTCCTTTTCATATCAAATGTCTAACACTGATCACAAAATAAAACTTGTGTGATTATAAGGAGGGATGATGAAGTTATCACTGTAGTCAAAATAACTGCTGTTGTTGACAGCTCATAAACCTTCCTGAAAAAAAAAATGTCCCACACTAAATTTCCTGGGATCACCATTAGCAGTGATAATAGCTTAAATTTGTTGTTGTTAAAATAGTTTGCCAATCTTCTTTTATTCAATTTCACCAAACAATGAAGATGATCCACACACTGTCAAATATCCCAAATGCAAGGGGATTAATGGGAGGACATTCTGCACTCTATTATGAACTTAAGTAACAAGTAGAAACATGACTGAAACTCATGATTTCTGAAAGAACTGCAAACGCTCGGAGACATGATCGTTTTTCATCCGTAACTGTCTTTCTGTGATACTACATGTTTATGATGACATATAATCATATACCCAACAATATCAAATCAATTACATAAAGTGCAGCATCTAAAAAAAAGTCATATAAAAGAAGTAAAGATAAACAATTACATCATGAAAACCTGAGGAGGCAAAATGATATCATCTCAACAGCATGAGACGTTTCGAGGTGGACAAAAACACAAATGGCATCGGCAAGCTCTCAGAATTAGGTTAAAAACTTCCAGCACACGGAATGTGAGCAAAAAATTATTTTAGTATTTCAGAACTTAAGAAGATGTTCAGGTGAGAGGCGGAACGTCCTCAAGATCCAAAGAGTCCTTTGGCTTTGTTTAAGCTCTTAGACTTTCAAATGCAGTTCAGTTGTGTATTAAAAAAAGTTAACATTGATAGACAATAAAATATTATGTGTCTACATTTGAATTTGTTCACCACAAAGACTTTTGAACTCCTGTCTGATCACTGAAGCAGGAAAATGGTGTATGATTTGTGAAGAAGTTGACTTATGACAGGATACCTGATGAGCAGATGAGCAGAAAGGGCGCCTTTTATACTTTAAATGTAAAAAATGATCCGCTTCATGCCTACGGGCTTGTGGTTATCAAAATCTCCTTGCGCGCAACTCTGTCTGCATCCATGTTTGTATATCAGCTTAGTTTTAGAATGTCAGATGCAAAAGAGGAGCTGCTATGTATGATTTGTGACAACACGCCACTGATGATTTGCAAATATCATCATACATGCTACACCACCCTAACCGGTGTTGTCAGCACACAGTTGTGTCAGCTCTGCCGCAAACTATACAGTGAAACTATGGTTACTGACTCTAGCCATCGTTTGCTACAACATATTGTCAACATAAATACTCAAAATATTGAAACTGTAATACAAAATCGTGGGTTGAAGATAGATTAGTCAACTAATCTATTTGTTGCACACCAGCCTGGAAAACTCACACATTTGATATGTTGGTAGCTAGATTTATAATTTACTCCCATCATGTAGCACATTAAAAGAAAAAATGTAATGTGTAGTTATCTGAAACCTCTCGACAAACTTTCAGAGAGGCTATGCAAAAACAAGCTAATTTAGTGGGTGAACTGCTTTTGAATTGTATGATTTATGAGGCAAATTTTGACAGGGGCAAAATTTAATCTTTCAAAGACCACTGGCATGGTGACTTGTGGTTAGGGAATGAATTCTTATTTACAGTTGCAGTCTAGTGGAGGGGACTTCAGGGAGCTGCCCTTTCAGCTCCATTTTGTACAGTCCGACACAAGAGCAGATAAAGATTAAGTGTGTGGTGAATGGTGAGGAATTTCTCTGACAGTTTCTTCAGTGCATGAGCTGCTCTCTCGCTTTTAGCCAAAATACATTTAAGTTTACAGCGGCTGAATGTATGTTCCTTCATCTGTGTTTATATCCAACAATGATTTTCAAGTTTTATTCCAAAGAAATCATTCTCATGCAGCACTGAGGACTTCCCTGCACTTTCTCTATCAGTGACTCCTTTCCAGAATAGATTTTCTTTTTCAGGGTGACATTAAAATAGTCTTTCAGTAATGCCTTCAATCCAATATTTGCTTTGCACTGATTTTTTTCATTACATAATTGGGAGGGTATGTTTGTTATTACACTAGAATTAGTTAAATGTTTCACATGAGCACGTCTTCGTTTTGTGGAAGTCTATTGAAATAATTCCAATCATTTCAAATGATGAAACATGCATGTAGGTCATATTAATGTAACATACTTGTAAAAAAGTTTGATAAGAAATACACATACTGAATAACTAGCTCCCACCAGGGGTTACTCAGTTTATTTTACTGTCTGAGATCATATCAAGTAAGTCATTAGCGTACACTCAAAATGAAAACAAGAAAGCTCTATGATGTCCTGAAGACATATGAATGCAGACTTACAGCTGCTTCTTTAAACTAGAAATATCACAAGGCTGGTTTGTGCACTGATTTCCCCTTTTTCCAGCATTAGCTCTTAAATTGTTTATCTTACGCAATCAAAATTACTCATTACTTCATGAAAGCCCGCACTGCAGATGACGAATCACACGAGCTGAAAGCAAAATTCAAAAAAGGATCAAAGAAGCATCTTTTTGAAGGAAACAGTGGTGTAATGAGTGAGGCATTGAGGGCGGAGTTGTATTTTGTTTCTTGATAATAGGGTATGGTTAAGAAACAAAATACCTTCTCCCGAGAATGACAAAAAAACTATCATAATTCAACTTACATAAATGGTTTTATTCAGACAAATTCTAATGTGCTTCCTCTTCCACTAAGCCAAATCAACACTGTCTACGTTCCCCATGGGCAGGAGTGATTGGAACCCCTCTTACTTGCACAGCAAGGTTTAACAGGAAACCTCTGTCTGGCTTCCCCCTCTTTTACACTGACTCTGTTTTACTTTCTCTTGTGGCTTTTCGCACATAAGTCCACCTTGGTCCACTTGATTTTGTATCTCACAACTACCTCGCTCTCGTGCTCTCTTTCTCTCCCTCCATTCGGGTTGTTTTAGTCATTAACTGACATGCTGATACCATCTCGGACACCTGTTCTCTCCTTCCACTGCTGCTTCTCCTTTTTCTCTCCATCTCCATCCTCCTACTTTCCACTCTCTGGCTCCTCTCCTCTTCCCCCTTCTTATCTTTTCAACAGGTCTGGAGAGAACAAATTAGACCAGCTAAATTAAGCCACACAGAGAGCCCCATTCTAGCTGGAAGCAGGGTGCACGTGCGCGTGTGCGTGTGCGCACGCACGCACTCGTGTTTGTACATGGAAAAGACGGAGAGGCACGGCACACACAAACACACAGCAAGGCGGGGGCTCTTTGAAAAATGGGTAAAACTGATCAAAGGAGATAAGCCTGAAGAGTTGGATTCTGCGCTAAATGTAAAGAGGTGCGATTATTTGACCAGAGGAGAAATTACAAAGCTTGTGGAGGGAGGGGAAAAAGCTGTGAGAGTCTGAGAGGCAGAGATAAGAAAGTTGTTTGTGGTATATGCACTGGTAGAAAGTAAATAGCTACATTTAGGTCAGAACTTCATTATGAGGGAGCTTTCACTTTTTCTCCGTCAATATGGAAGAGCGAAGGGCGACGCTGACTGCTGGATGGCTGTGGTCTGAACCTGCAGATAGGCTGGAGAACGCTTATTTAAGCGCTGGCATGCGCCCCTGTGCCTCAGTTTCTCCGTGTGGTTCCTCTCACAATCCACAGACATCTGTGATGGGGTTCATCTGTGACTCTAAATTGAAGTGTGAGCGTGGGCGGCTTTCTGTCTCACCATGTTAGCCCTGTCTGCAGTGAGGGAATGAATCATGGGTCCACCATGTAATTCACCGTTAACCCAGTGTCACCCACGACCAGATCCAGCCCGCCTGAGCCCTACAGCACTGACTATCACCTACCACAGTCTACTCAAGCTACGCAAGAACTTCTCGTAAGAATCCGTTTTGCAATCATTCTTTCATTAAAAAAAAAAAAAGCTATTCTAGCCATTTATCTGAAAGTTTTACTTTTCGTGTTGCTTAAGAAACTGAGATGGAGATGTGCCACCTGAAAAGAATCACAACAAGACAAAAGAGCAGCCACCGGCATCAAACGGAAGGTCAGTGGCTTTTTCGTCGTTTAAACCACCAAACAGTTTACAGGTGCACAGCTTCACAATAAGATTTATTCATTCAATTTCCGTGACACTCAGCCAAGCCATTAAAAAAATAACTCATTGGACCAACTTTAACATTTCAAAATGTTTCCTTTCGCTTGTTTTTATAATTGTTTGGTACTCCCAACAATTTGAGGCTAATGAGGTTTGGGTGGATAGTGTATTCAATGAGAGTGTGTATCAGTGTTCATTTTTTCACTTGTTTCATCCAGGGGTTTCCATGAAGGTACAGTCTTACAATCATGTAGCTCAAATACTGACTTTTAAGTGTCTGGCCCCTACAAGCACATATTGTGATGACAGCTCCAATAAATGTTTTATTAGCATATTTATAAAATGATGTATTAAAATGACACTGTGAAAATGAAGGATCATAAACAACCACACCATTCCCCTCCTTCTCTCTCTGTCCATCTTAGCTTTTATTCCATCCGTGCTTGTACTTCTTTTTTTCTTTTCTTTTTTTTTTTTTTAAGAATAAGCAGTGTGGCCAGATCTCCTCCTCTTCTCTTTTGTCATATAGCAGGACGCATTTTTAATGTCTCTTTCTCTCTTAACCATTTCCCTCTCTGATGAGAGAGAGAAAAGCTTAAGATCTCTTTCTCCCTTCCTCTGCCTGACAGAATGACAAAGCTAATCTCCTTGTCCATTCATCTGGAAGTCTTTAAAAGAACATGTTTGCATTCTTCCCACCCCCTGCCCACCCTCCCGTGTACCTCCATCCTTCCTATGCTGTCGTTTTGGACAGGTGAGAAAAGCACAGTTAGCTAACACGATCTGGCATTTAACTGACAGCGTTACTGGGACCTCTATCTTACCCTTCCTCCCTTCTCTCTTATCTCCCCCTTTATCGTTTTTCTTTACTGTCAAGTGCAAGTATAACGGCGAATGAAACATTCTTGACCTGAACAATTACAGTGACACTCCGGCTGAACCCAATGTGATGAAATCAGTGATAAAAAAAAAAAAAATGCTGGCTGTGTCTCAAATAATGGTCCACAATGGCACCGTGTGTGAGTCTCTCACCTGCAGTGAGTAGTAGACTTTGAATCCTGGCTTTGCCACAAAGTAATCATCAGACTTGAAGGTGATTCTGAGCTTGTTGCTTTTTGAGTTGCGTCTGGGTGGTGGCTTCTGCCCACACCAGCGTCCCCAAGTGATGGTGCTCGTCTCTGATTGTTCCTCAACTTCAACAAAGTCGTACCTATAGTAACAATGACAAAGAGAGAGAGAGAGGGAGAGGCAGGTAAATAAGAGGCAGAGCAGGAAAAGTTTAAAGACTAGAAGCGGTACACAGAGAGAGAGAGAGAGGCTGAAAAAGGACGACTGTCTTAATGTAATGCTCAGTAAAGCATAACATATAGCCTTATTTATAACAGTCCACTTCCACACACACAAATATACAGCGGATTATCAACCATAACATTATGCCCACTGACAAATAATCCAATGCAATGTTTAGTCCTGGGATCAATAAAGATTTCTCTTTGACACAAGTTAAAAGGAAAAGAGAAAAGATAATAATGATAGCATGAGTCAACAGCATCCACCACCCCTTTTCCTGCTTACAAGCAACAAAAATGCATACTTAACAGAAACATTTATAACATAATATTAATCAAATCTGTAATGAAACAAAAAAAAACATGATGACAGTGGAGATAATATGTAAGTACAACCAAAGCTCCCTCACATCACCACCCCTGTCACTGATGAGCACCTTTCTCCTTCTTCATGTCTCCTCTCAGTCATCCGCCCACTTGTCTTTTCAGCAGAATGCTTACAAAAACAGCTGAGTTGCATTTAGGGATTAAAATGTCTATTTTCTTCCCCTCAGTACTCAAGGACAAACTTCTTCTATTCCTCCCTGAGAGAGCAAACTTCCAATATCCATCTCACTCATGTCCTTCCATTACAATCTACTGCTACTGTGTCAAAGTGAACACATTAGCAAATAATTCTCACCTATTTTACGGCTGCCGTTCTTTCAACTTGAGTCGTTCGAGCAATAAACTTTTCCTGCCCCCGCTGTCATTTTAAACCTTCTACTCCATCACTCCATCTTGCACTTTTTAATCACTTTTGCCTTTCATCTGACTTTTTCCCATTATAGATGCTTGTTATGCATCGGTGGCTATCCTCTTTGTCCTCTTCCATCCGTCTTTTCTCTTTCCAGGTATTGTGCTTCTCTTCTTTGCTCTTTTTCACTAATAGCACTTTATGCCACCCCCTCTTTTGTTTTTTAATCATCTCCTTTAATCTTTTTTTTTTTTGTTAACCAGCATCTCTATCATGTCCTCTTATCTGTGTGTTTTACCTGCACACTCCATTCTCTGGCTCCTCCAGGCCGAAGTGTCCATCAAACTCCAGGTGTATGCGGCTGCCTGGTGGTGACTGCAGTTTCCATGACAACAGCAGGTTGCGAGGATAAGCGTTGGGGTAGCGTGGGCTGTGGATGACCCCACCCGTCGGCGTTACCGTTACATTTTCCTCCTTGCTGTACAAGTCTGTGGTGAGGCGATTGCTGTGTGTTAGTGGTTGCAGCTAATCAGTTAGTTCACCCGGCTCACTTCAATCATTTGAGGCCATCTCGGACTCATGCTCAGGTAACTGACTCACGTAGGAGATGCAAACAGTCTCTGGCCGACCTTTCCTTCAACATTCTGGCTTGAAATCTTCAAAACCCCTGAGCACAGCGTATGACACTGCTATCTCTCCTGAACCTCTCCTGGCTTTGTCTGCTGCCCCCCTTCAGCCTTTTTACCTCTAAAGTCACCCAGACGGCTCCTTACCACCCTGGTGGCCGGGAGACTCATGCTCCTTAAGTGGAAACACTCTAAAGCTCCATCCCATAGCAGGAAGGTAAAAGAAATGTTTCCGTTCGTTAGACTTGAAAAGCTCAGATTTTCCATCAACGGTTCCTTAACCTCATTAGAAAAAACTCGACAGCCCTCTCTTTAGTTATTAGGGGGGCCACGCCTGCGGCATGGGCCACCTCGGTGGGCCTAGCCGGCCCACCGAGGTGGGCCTTGCCGCAGGCAAGGCCCACGTATTACTCTTCGAAATACTTATTCCGTCACTTATTATCGTTCTCCCGTTTCCGCGGACCACTACTCCTCCCGCACGGTTCGACGGATCGGGCCCAAAGTTGGCACGCGCGTCCGGACCCACCTAGCCATGCGTGCTTGTATACAACTTTCTCAAAGGAGCGGGCGTTTCCGAGGAAACGGCGAAAAAGTGGCGAGCGTATTCCCATAGGAATGCATGGGGGACGCAGAAAAAAAGGCACAAAAAAAGCCGAAAGATGAGGCCCGTCAGGGCCTCATCGCTCGGGCCCAGAGCGTCCGAGAGACGTCGTTCGAACATTGAACGGGACACGAAAGACGGGCCTCCGCCATATCGGAGCCACGAGGCCAGATCTCGCACCGTTTGCCCGCAATCGCTGTTGACGTTTTAGTGAAATTCAGAAAATCAGAGATCCTGGCCCGCACTCTAATTCAGCTCGTTAAGAGCTCTCAGAGTCCAGTGGGGAGGTTCACTGAAAAAAAGTCAAACTTTAGCCTCTCGTGACCAATCCGTGGGGCCGAGCGGTGCCAAAATGGCCTCAAAACGTAGCCACGAGTGTCCTCTTTCGCCCGATGTGCCCGGTTTGGACCTCGGCCTTACGGTTCTCCGCCAATCGGGCCCAGAGTTCAGACTTTCCAGACCCTCTCCAATAGGATTTTAATGGAAGAAAGGAGAGATTTTTTTTCACCAGAGACAAAACGACCCTCATTTTGAAATTGCCATAAAAAAATAACCGCTGGGAGCAGGCGAAAAATAAACAGATGTGCTGAGACGTGAAAGTCTCAGCCCGCTCACGGTCCAAGAATTTTTCAGTTTTGTGTTATAGTTTTCGAACAGCGTACAGCCGTTCGGAGGCAACGTTTGATAGAAACTGCCTCTTCTCTGTGTCAGAACTGCGGCTTACTGATGAGTCACAGGTGTGGGAGCAGAGACTTTGGCCTGGCTGCTGTCGCCGTGGCGACCACCAGAGAGCCACAGCAGCACTGTGGGTCTCTGCAGACCTCTGTGGGCTGTGAGCTTAAAGGCGGGCGAAGCCCGCTCTCAGTGATTTTTTAAGAAATACGTTTTTTCCTGTTTCGAGGCGGGCGAAGCCCGCTTAGAGGGCTTTAGTCAGAGCCCGGTTCTGGTTCTGGTTCTAGGGATCGGACCGGACCGGGTCGGAACCAGACTGGGGCCATGTCATACTCCTGGTTCAAGGCGGGCGAAGCCCGCTCTCAATGATTTTTAAAGAAATACGTTATTTGTGATTCAAGGCGGGCGAAGCCAGCTTAGGGGGCTTTAGTCAAAGCCCGGTTCTGGTTCTGGTTCTAGGGATAGGACCCAACCGGGTCGGAACCGGACCGGGGCCATGTCATACCTCGTTGCGTAGGTCTTTTTCTCAGCTTTCAGCCAACGTGACCCCCGACCTGCCCACCCCATCCGCATTCGGTCAGCGGGCCCCAGAGCTCAGCCGGGTCCCTCCATCACTGCGTCTCTCCCTCAGGCCCTCTCATAGGCGCGAGCCCACATTACAGAGAGCCCGAACATCGATTGGCCGACCCGCCCCGGGTTCCCAGACGGGCAGCGGGTGGCCCCCCTCCAAAATTTCTTCAGAAATTTTCTAGTATTGAATTTTTCACCTCTCTGCCCGACTGTGACGGTTTAGCCCCTCCCTTTTTCCTTTTTATTCCTCATTAATTTGCCTTTTTCTGGAGTTGTTGTAAGTACTCTGTACCATTAATGTGTCAACACTGGATTTACATTGAGAATTGTTCTCTATGACTGTTGGAGGGATAAAGAAGATTGAAATAATGGCAGAATCTAAGCCCACTCGGTCACATTGCACTTCTATGCTGTTGCCTGTGAAATTGCCTCCAAAAAGAAAGTCAATAAGAAAGAAAAATACTTCACAAAAACTAAACATTATAAATTGTTAACATCTTCCTTTTGCCCAGTCTGATGTTATTAACATATTTGTAAAGCCAACAAAGACAGATTTTGAGGATTAAAGGATTTCTGGCGTGATCTGTGATGACACAATCTGAGATGATGTTTAAAGAACAACAACTGCTTGTTGGTAGTAAACAGCTAAAGCTCATCCGGTGAATACTGAGCCCCAATTAATCATAACACTCACCGATCCTGTTTTGATATTGTGCCACAAAACTCTTTTTGGACCCTCGCAATTGTTTTGTTGACCTTATAATTAGGGGGAAAAAAAGGCTTACCACACACACACACAGACACACTCACACACACACATATAGTGAGAAGGTCACAGTATGTGCTGAAGCAGGCTGACAGGGCTGGGTGTTTTTTTTTTTCCAAGAGAGCTGAATGCATAATCACGGCACTGCAGTGTGCACCCCTGAGAGATGATGATGATGAAGCTTTGGCCTTCTCCTCCACCTCTTCATTGCAAACTTTCTTCCCTCCCCTCCTCTTATCTCTCCTCATCTCTCCCTTTCTTCTCCTCCCTGTGCTCGTCCTCTCTAAAGATTGATCTTACTGCCAATCGTCAATGAGCTTCCCCTGCTCGTTGTAGTTTCTCCTAATACCTGAAGCTGCACTCCATACAGCAATTAGCAGGAAACAACAAGCCATTTTATTTTGGGGAGTTCCTGCCTATGTGAACCTGTGTGTGCACATGTGATTTGGGACAGATTTGTTTGTAATGGAATGCTTCCACTCTGCTGATCAGAGGTCTGGCTGTGTGGGTCTATTCAGTCATGAAAGTGCTTATGTGTGGGGAACTTTCACCCACTCATGTCTCAGGGGAGTGTGAATGGCTCACAGCATTGCTCTGAAAATAATTTTTTGGGGATGTGCACATAATTCTTAAACACCGTGTATGGAGCTACCATCATATCATCATGCAAATAATTTGTGCTAAGCTACCACTGCACTCTGGAATAGGTTTTCTTATGGATATATCTGTACTTGGCCGCATTCATCTTTCCTTCCATTGCAACCAGTCTTCCTGTCCCTGTAGCTGAAAAACACCCCCATAGCATGATGCTGCCACCACCATGTTTCACTGTTGGGATTTTATTGGGCAGGTGAAGAGCAGTGCCTGGTTTTCTTCACACAAACCGCTTAGTATTAACGCCAAAAAGTTCAATCTTGGTCTCATCAGACCAGAGAAGCTTCTTTCTCGTCGTCTGGGAGTCCTTCATGTGTTTTTTGGCAGACTTTATGCAGGCTTTCATGTGTTTTGCACTGAGGAGAGGCTTCTGTCGGGCCACTCTGCCATAAAACCCAGACTGGTGGAGGGCTGCAGTGATAGTTGACTTTGTGGAACGTTCTCCCATCTCCCTTCTGCACCTCTGGAGCTCAGTCACGGTGATTTTTTGGTTCTCTTCTTCTCTCTCACCAAGGCTCTTCTCCCACGATTGTTCAGTTTGGCTGGACAGCCAGGTCTAGGAAGAATTCTGGTCATCCCAAACCTCTTCCATTTGAGGATTATGGAGGCCAAAGTGCTCTTAGGAACCTTGAGAGCTGCAGAAATTATTTTGTAACCTTGGCCAGATCCATGCCTTGCCACAATTCTGTCTCTGAGCTCCTTGGGCAGTTCCTCATGATTCTCGTTTGCTCTGACATACACTGTGAGCTGTAAGTTCTTATATAGACAGGTGTGTGCCTTTCCTAATCAAGCCCAATTAGTGTAATTAAACACAGCTGGACTGCAATGAAAGAGCAGAACCATCTCAAGGAGGATCAGAAGAAATGTGAGTTAAATATGAGTGTCACAGCAATAGGTCTGAATACTTATGACCATTTGATATTTTAGTTTTTCTTTTTTAATTAATTAGCAAAAAAATCTACAATAAAATAATAAAATTTTTAATAAAATGAACTTTTTTTATTTTGGCAAATGGCTGCCATGAAACAAAGAGTGAAAAATTTAAAGGGGTCTGATCTCTGTCTATACATATATTGACAGAGAGAGATTTTTTACCTGTGAATGGGTAAAACACGTGAGGGCATGTGTTGCTTTTATCATTACAGCACACTTATCTATGCACACAGCAATGTGTGTCTGTGAGCTTTAGAAAGATGGAAGACACTAAATTGGGAAGATATGCTAATATGCCTGAGCTGCACAGGTCTCTTTGGATGTTTCGCAGTCAGATCATTGACCTTAATATAAATCATGCAGTGAAGTCAGTGACACTATTGCAAATTAATGCAAATGATAAAATGATTAGGACAGAAGTTCCTGCTAACTATCAGTCTAGAGACTTGACAGTACTTGAAACTGGCACCTACATTTCAGATTTTGGGTAGAAGCATATATGAACGAAGGATTAATTACACTCCTGTGTCAAATCCTGTGGGTATTAAATGCAGTGCAGTGTGAAAATATATTATATTGACATCTATTTCTTCAGCTCTACACTGCTGCACATTCTAATTGAAATTACAGTTATGTTGAAAAGTTTTATCTAAAATGATGCTTGAAAAAATTTGATTATGTGTTACTAGCTAGTGCATGACTT